CACTCGCTACCCTCACCGGCTACCCTAGCGACATCTTCCTCTCCGGCCTATTTGCGCTCTGGTGCCCCATCCCCGCGCCCTACCAGCTTCTTCCCTCAACCTCCTTCTTGGACCACCCGGAGCTCCCTTTCTGGAATGTCGCAAGGATGTTAGAAACAGCTCTCCCTGGATCGCGCGTCTACATCAATCCGGACCGTGGTGCGCGTTGGGAATTCTGGGGCTGCCGCGGGTGGGAGAGGATTTCTGGGCTAGACGACTTCTTTCCCGACGGGATGGTGGATCCGAGTACCCTCAGAAAGGTCGGGACGCTCGGCGCCGGAGGCTTTGGGTCAGTCGTCAAGGTCAAGGTTGTCGGCGGGGATGCTCAGCAGAGGGTCGGCTCCAAGTTCCTCGCCGTCAAGCGCATCGCGCGCCCGAGAAACAACGAGCGCGACCGATGGGAGGCCATCATCTCTGAGGTCGTCACCCACTGGCTCATGGAGGACAACCCCGCCTTCCCACGCATCCACGGGGCTTTCCAAAACCGGAAATTCTGCTTTCTGATTCTGGTATGTCCCTCTTCTTCTGTTTTGAAAAACGATCTCATATCTTGCCCAGGATTGCGGGAAGACCTCGTTCGCGTGTGCCCGACCCACCGACCGACATTCGGCCTGGGTTTACTCCACGCAACTGGTGTGTATCTCAGACCGTGTCTAACCGCGCACACTAAATCTAAGAACCATCTTTCACAGGCCGATGCCGTTCAGGCTCTCCACCAGAGCGGCGTGGTGCACTTCGATCTCAAGCCTGCCAACCTCGTTCTGGACGTCCACGGACAGCTCCAAGTGATCGATTACGGGTTAGTGCACCACTTCGACGACGACGAAGTGGATGAAGCAGATTGGCCGGAGTGGGTGGCCCTTCGTGACGCGGAGCCCCGGACGGATGCGTTCCCCGTACTTTGGCCGGGAGAAGGCAACCCCCACAGCGTGAGAGCGCGGGGCGGGACATATGCCTACATGTGCCCAGAAGCCGAGCAGGGTTTGCCGTGCTCCTATGCGGCTGATGTCTGGGCCATCGGGGTGATTATGTACGAGTGGTACGCCCAGGCAGTACGTGCTTTCTTCGATTGCCTTTCTTTTCACAACTGACACTGCGCTCAGTCCCCAGCGTTCCAAGGAGACTTGTGGGAGCCTGTCTCGGCGCACTGGCCTCTCGGACATCGAAGTGGACTTTTTTTCCCGGGTATTCCTTCTCCTCTGTTGTTCTGTCGTCATTACTCATTCTTCATGGACTTGCAGATTTTCTCGGACCAGCGGCTCTCGCGGTTTGAGAACTGGGGAGAGATTCACGCTCATCCAATTTGGGCTACGTGAGTTGCGCGTCAAGTATTACTCTTCACCCGGCTGATCAATTTCTTCTTCAAGTGAAGGAAAGGTGGTGGAGTAATGGTGGAGGCGGTCCTTGCATACACCCATATACCCTTCAATGCTTCGGTATCGACTCTGTCGATTATACCCCTTCGGCCCTGTGGAGCATTTCTTGCCATATACCCGCTCCGTGTACGTCTTGACATCTCTTTTCTGGACCTATTTCCTGACTTGATACGCTCTAGATACCCCTTTCTATTCCATCCGGCTATCGACCTATCTGGTCGATGATACCCACGGATTGTAAGTCTGACCTCTCTCCTCGACTCCATTCCTGACTCGGTACGCTCTAGATACCCCTCTTATCTTTGTGGCGCATCCAGTCGGTCGAGAATCGGGGAATACACGAACCGACCGCCGGCTTGAAGTGTATGTTTTTGCGTCCCTCGCCTCGACTTTCGTTCCTGACTCGATGCGCTTTAGATACCCCTTCATCTTTCTTTACTTTGACGGCGGCGGCTTGGGGACCGAGGACTAGTAGCGGGTTGTTGACGAGGTTGGAGGAGTATAGACGTGGATCCGGCGACCGGACGACGGCATGGGCAGCTTCCCTAGCCTAAGGTCCTACCTCCCCCGATACCGCGTCGACCCGGCACCTCCGACATCTCCACGCCCGCGAACGACCACCCTTGCCATATACCCCTTATATACCCATTTGCACTTTCTTTTCTTTGCCTGCGGAAATGTAACAGTCTCTCTGATTCGGAACCGTTCGCATTGCGGAGAGGGCTGGAGCTATGTTTTTATTCGATGCACGAGATCGAAACTGCGAAAATCTGCATACTCAATAATGCCGCTGAACAAGGGCAGAACAAAAGTTGAGTCCGCCCCAGTCGGGAAGATCTAGATTTGACGACCCAGTCTTCGTCAACTTCGCGCAGCAGGACGATGTTTGGCACCATCTTGAGAGACAGCAAAAGGATACATGGAGCGTATGTGCGATGTAATTCCGAAATATATATCGCTCCAAATCATTATTCGCATATCCGGGCTGCAACGGTGAATACTAGTAGGAAAGGATAGATGCGAAAGCACCCGGGATACATCCAACTTCGTGGCGGGCGCCACCCAGGAACGCAACTTGAGAACTGTATTGGGAGCCAATTCCTTAGTATTGCGACGTCGAGAACGGTGTGACTCATTTCAGGGACCCTGCGCGGCGGCCGCGTGCATACAAATAGAACAAATAGGAATCTGGGAGGAATCATGAGAATCGGGATATTGTATTGAATGTCTTCCGTTTCGAATTCGGGACGTCATGACATATGAGCCACAATTTAGGTGGTTAACCAAGTACACCATCGGCCCCCGGTGGCTGTGCCCTTGATCTCACGAATAATATCCAAGAAAAGCGTCGATGGACATCCAAGACCAACTACGGAGTAAGTGTACTATAGAAACCTCTCCGGCGCAACGAGGTCGAGTTCCGCTGGGTCCACACCCGCGAAATCCCGACTCTTGATCGAGCGACTTTGCACCTCCTGCTTTTGAAGCCACAAGCGGTAGAGCTCGAAACAGTCTTTCGTCTGTCTCAAGTCAGCGGTGACTTTGAGGGATTAAATATGGGAAGACTTACGAGGACGAAGAGGCCGTAGCCTAGGGTGTTCCTCCACCTACCCGAGAATGCGGTTAGAGCCTAGGAAAATATTACGGCGACTCGATGCACGCACCAAACCGGATCGACGTCAGCCCACACCCAAGATCCGCCGAGGAAGAGCGCGCCGACAGCTTGAGAGGCGGCCAAGAAGCGGCGGGAAAGCGTCATCCTCTGCCAATTGGGATAGTGGTATGAGTGCACACTGTGCGGGAGCGATACCAAGCGTGGGCGCAGGCCCAGGAAGTGCCGCAGATACACCGACTGGCTCGAAGCCGCGTGGAGCAAAATACCAAATGCGCGTGGGATGACGATGGTGCCGAGGGCGTGCACGATGTCGTGCGTGAGCGAGGTCTGGTCTTTGTGGATGAGTTGGTCTGCGATGACGAGCGGCGGAGGGTCGAGGTCCTGCACGTACGCATCGCCTGCTGGAGGCGCCTGAGGCACGGGCGCGGGCGCGGCTGCGGTGCGGCCGAAGATGAACATCCACTGCGCGCGGTCGGTGAAGTAGCGTTTCTGCCGACGAGGTGGGGGCGCGCCGAGGACCCATGTTTTGAAGCGCGAGAAAAGGCGGTCGTACATTGGTGCAATGAGAGGCACAATGAATAGACCGAGCATGGCAGGAGAGGGTGGCCAGGTTGATACCATTGGCCGGGAGGCCTTGTAAACCTTGGGGATGGCGCCAAGCATGCGGAGAGCTCCCGGTTCGATCAGTCCATGGAAGATGAACGGGAAGGCGAAGTAAAGCGGTATTGTCCACTTTGGGACAGTGCCTGGTAGGAGTAGCCTGAAGGGCAGCGTGGGAAGTACAATGAAAAAGGAACGAAAGAGGTCATCCGAGTTCCCTGACAGCAAGAGGTCAAACATCCTGCCAAAGTGAAATTCATGTGTTTCGTGTCGGAGGAGAATAGATACATACTGTGGGCCCAAATACGACTCCAGAAATGCGACTTCGTAGACCAACATTGCTGCGAGAAGAATGAGCGACGGCGGATGTTCGAATCAATAAACATCCTGACCTGTGAGCACAGATAAACGGGTTCCCACGGAGAGCGAGACGGGGATGGTCTGAAAGACCAGAAGCCCAGTGGCGGCGCAACCCAGGTTTATAGTCTCCACCAGGAGCACATAGGTGGCATCGAGGGCCATCGCGAATCTGTGAAGTAAACCCGGTGGGGGTTGCGCTAATTCGTACCGACGACCGCAGTGGGGGCACTTGAACGTATCTAGCGCAAAAACGTTCCGGGTGCGGATTTGCTCTTTGTTAGTCGCGGGTGGCAGGGAGCTGATCCATCTGAGAAGACACCTATCGTGCGCAATGAGAGCACATGATGGACAGGGATGGATCCAGGTATTGAGATTTCTTTTTCTCGGGAGTTTAGGGCGAACTGAGTGTACATGAGACTTAAAACTGGAACCGAGTGTGCTTGGACGTGCCCAACGAGGTTTCTTTCTCCAAGCAAATGAAGCAAGATTTGACCTAGTAAAACAAGTGAAACGAGACCTGCTTATGTCTTTTCCTTCAGAGCTTACGCGGAGATCCTCCACAGTCGGGATGTGGTTCATGGAAGATAAACGAGTCAGCGATCGCGATCGCCAACGGTCGGCCAACGGCTGGGTACTATTTGTGTTGGAGTTTCTTATAACTAAAGGTGTTGAGCTAGCTTCGGTTTTTGAGGCCTGAGCTGCGAGGCTCGGGATGAAGGTCACTGGTTACTGGTGAAGAGAGAGTGATGGAATCAGTTGGCATTGATCCTAGATCGACTTGTTCTCACGGTTTAAAACTCCAGTCTTGACCGAAACTAACCGCTTTCCCGTGTATCCCTTGCCACAGAAGTAAATCCTTGGACAGTAGGATGCTTTGGAGGTCTAAATATCCAACTTTGTCCCAAACGTCGCCTCGAAAAACAAAGAAAAAGAGAAAAAAAGATAGACGACGGTCCAAACGTTTCGGCGCCTTTTCAGATACTATTCAACCTTCCAACAGAAGAATTTACGGTTCGATGGTGTAGTTGGTTATCACTTCTGTCTAACAGCGCTCGCGTTTGCGTAACCTGTCGCACAGGCGGTCCTCAGTTCGAACCTGGGTCGAATCATGTTTTGCTCCTCGTTGCAGCACTTGAACAATTTTGCAAATCCTTTCCTGTACAACCCCTTGCGTAACCCAAAACCCGGTGGTCCCCAGTTCAAACCCGGGTCGAATCGCGTTTTCCTCCCGTGCTGCGTTTCGAGTATTTTCAAACCATCGATTGATTATCGCCACCATCGGCGTGTGAGCATCTATTTTTGCTCCCATGTCTTCCCCCCATTGCCGCTGAGCGCCTGGAATATTTTCAAGTAAAACGGGTCGACGGTCGAGGCAGGAAACGACGAAAACGACAGAGAGCGGAAGTGAGAGAAAAGTGATCGGACCGGTTCGTATATTATGTCAGCGCCGTTGGGACGGTGCGTTGAATATTGCCCTTCCACTCTAAAAGCGCGTACACAGACGTAAATTCAGCGAGGTAATTTAGACACACGACCTCTTCATCAGCAAACCCAGGGTTTTACCATAGTTGACTGTAGTCATCTGTAGTTGCCATAGTTACAGGCCGGTCTCGTAGCGCCCTGTAGCGCTACCTAGTTCCCGGGCTTCTATGTAGCTCTACGTAGATTGGGGGTCTTCTATGTAGCGCTGTGTAGATGAGGCATTTTATGTAGCTCTATGTAGTTTCGTGCCTTGGTTGTAGAGCTGGGTAGTTTGGGCCTCCGCTACGTAGGGCAGCCGCTTGCAGGTGGCTGTACCTGATGTTAGCATTACGTCTTGTAGACGCACAAGCCAAGACATTATCTCTTGGCCTACCTTGTGTTAGGGAACAAAAATGAACGGGAAATTACTGCTCATCCTCGAGATCGCTTTTAGGCCATTCCCACGGCGATTCTGCAGAATCAAATCTGACAATCGAAACAGAATACAGGCGAGAATCCTGACTTGATCCTGACCGGTTCTCAAGAATCACTGGTCCCGATTCTCGACAAAGAATCGGTCCTCAGAAGCGGCCTTCGATTTCAGCTTTGACTTCCCTTATTATGAAGAGGTGGATTAGATTTAGGTCTACACAGGTCTCCTAAATTCACATTTGGCTGATTTTGAAGCACTTCTGCTGCTGTGTGAATGGTGATAAGAAGCAAAAAAAAAAAAAAAAAAAAAAAAAAAAAAACATGTCACAAATGTGTTACAAGCCACCTGCTTTGTCACACCGTGGACACACTGGAGGTTGTCCACGGTGTGACAAAGTCAAGTGACTTTGTACATGCAAGAGTCACACCTCACTTGTATCCAATATACCTGACTTCAGATCACAGTAGAGGAGACACTGGCCGCCTGCAACTCAAAGGTTTAGTATAGAGTTGAAGAATTACTGACCTGGACATGGCACAATAGCATATTGTGTAACTGGGGCCGCCATATGTCGTGGTCTCTTAGTCTACTTGGTAGTTGCCTCTTTCGTGTCTTTTGTCCGTACGCGCGAGGTCGTGAGTTCGAACCCGCCCAAAAACAATGTATTAAATACATAATTAATAGTTATTCATACCATTCAGCGCTACTACTAAAACATTGCCTTAGAATACAATTGAAAGACAGCATCCAATTGAAAGGTATTGAAACTGAAAGGATCAAATTAAGACTTTTCTTGAGTAGTACACCTCAGCTCCATAGCACTACATAGTAGCCCCCCCAACTACATAGCGCTACGTAGCAACCACCTCAACTACATAGTGCTACGTAACCGGGACCTAACTACAGTTGCTACAGTAGCTACAGGCCCTACGTAGCGCTACGTAGCCGACCCGGGGTTTGCTGATGTTGGAGCTACCTCCTAATTTATCTTCTCTCCAATGATAAGTTTGCTGATCCTTGGCGGTCGGCTGCAAAGCACTCATGTTGCTCAACCAGGAACCTTGAGGCTACTCGTCTTTCCGTCCAGTTTTTCACTTGATAGGTGGAGCTCTGTGCTTACTGCTACGGCTTCTCACTTTGAGGAGTAAGCATGGCCCTTTATGTTCAATTGAAAACAATTCTCAACCAAATATTAGTACTAGCTACTAGCGAAGGACTGCCGCCATTGCTAACGCTGCAAGCACAAGGCTTTCTTCCTGAACTCGTTTAACCGAGGGAATTGTCCCGCGGTTGCATACCTGGGCCGAATTATCTTTGCGTCTCGTTCCTGCCAGTGCGGTTTGTTCGATTTTCACCTGTTCTCGATTAACGAACCCAAATTAAGGTGCCAGCTGCTGTCCAGGTCTTGGATTGTTTTGAGGCCTAGCTGTGACATGGGTAAGAGAGCTGGTAAGAGGAAGTTCCAGTGATCGTCCTCAAGGCCTTGGGGTCGGGTCCGGCGGATACCAAGGCCTTGAGTCAAGGGCACCTCCAAGGCCTTGGTAAAAGTTTCCCGTGCATTGGGCATTGGTCCAAAATAAATTTAAAACAGAGGGAGAAGGGCCGCCTGCACTCTCAGAGAGTTCTACTTATTAGTGAAGTGCACTCAACCTGATTTCCCTCGTAATTCACTAATTGATGAGCTATAAGAATTACCAGATCCCAGTAGTGGAAGAAGGTGCTGCCAGGTACACGAAAACTTCGAAATTCAAGATCTGCTCTGTAAAAAAGCCCGCGGAGGTGATACCGTCAGGTTTTCTGGGCAGAACAAAAAATTATAATCACATAACCAAGGCCTTAACCAAGGTCGGACTCTCCGCCGAGATTTTCCCAAGCCCTTGGACCCTTGGGCGAACACTGATCTGAGTCCTTTGTGTCTGATCATGATCCGCGACGGCGTTGATGGGAAACATTGTCGCCAATCAACGGAGGTCGGACACTGTTGATCTTTACCTTCATGTCACCTTCCCGTTCAATCCTCTGGCGAATCGTCCGACCCCGCACCCTTCCAAGTGCTCGAGCTTACAGCTCCTTTCGCTCTCGGGTGCTGGATGCTGATGTCAAGCACGACATTCCCAAGGTGGTTCTTAGTCCTCGGCAGAACCTGGGTGTTCTTGCCGTGCTTCTTGCTACAACTATGTGCGGAGCGGTCGCGGGCTACAGCATTGCACAATCGGAGTCTACTGGTTCTGCAGCAGAAAGCACGACACCCCCAAAGTACGGAACCAAGGCAGATTTCAAACTCGCTATAAAAGAACTCAAGGATGCACTTCCCCGTAACGGCGGCGTTTCAACTGACCAAGCCGACCTCGTCATACACGGAGAGTCACCGTACCACCATCACGATGGTACCCCGCCGGTCCTTGTTTTCTCCGACACATTGTACTCAGGCATGCGTACAGGCGTGGACCATAGCGTTGTTGTATATCCGGAAACCACTGAAGACGTCGTCAAGATTGTCAAAATTGCAAACAAGTACAAGATGCCTGTCGTGGTCAGTCAATATCTTGAATGCAGATTTCAACTTCATCCTATTTCAGCCATATTCTGGAGCGACGAGCTTAGAGGGTCAAGTTGGCGGGGTTCGTAATGTCTGCCAAAGTCATTTTCGTGCCATCCTCTAAATCTCCTTTTGGCACAGTACTCGGGCGGTTGTATCTGCGTCGATATGTCGGAAATGGATCAAATCTTAGCGATTCACGGTTCGTTGGTTGATTTTAGAGAAATATGGTTGAATCGACAAAGGACCTGTAGAAGCCGATGCCGACCTTGTATGTCAGCCCGGAGTTGGGTGGATGACCATTAACGAAACCTTGCGTAGTAAAGGTACGATTACTCACTTCCGCTTTACCGTCGGCTCGACCAACTTGGATATAGGGATCCCACTATTCTTTCCCGTTTGTTGGATTTCCCCGTCGCTCCCGGTATTTAGTTCATCTTCTCGGTAGATAGATCCCGGCCCTTCGGCGACCATCGGCGGCATGGTTAGCACTGGTTGCTCCGGAAGTAGGTCTGATAATCCTCGGGTTTGACTTTGCTTGACAGTCACAGCTAACGCCGTCCGATATGGGACCGCGAAGGGAGAATGGTTTCTCAACTTGACCGTGGTGCTTCCGTCAGGCGAAGTCATTAAAACTCGTCGTCGATCTCGGAAATCGTCCGCAGGATTTGACCTGACAAAGCTTTTCATCGGCGCAGAGGTAATTCCAAACGCATCTCCTTGTCCACGGTTGAATTTTTCCCCGTTTGCCAGGGCACTCTTGGCATAATAACAGAAGGTAAGGAAACCTTGCCTCGACTACGCCGTTACGATTGATTCCTTCGCAGTGACACTCAGACTGGCGCCTGTGCTCCCTACCACCGTCGCGACTGTCCAGTTCCCAAATGTCAGTGCGGCGGCCGAGGCAGTTCGTCAGGCCATCAATGTAGCTGGCGTTGGGGCCAGCGTTCGTAAGTCAAGCCGCCCAATCGTTGTTGACGTATTCTGATTCTCTTGTAGAATGTGTTGAGCTAGTAGACAACAATTTCATGGCCGCATTGAATAAATTCGGTACGATCTCAGTCCCTTCGTCTTCATTCAGACACGAAACTTATACTCTGCGTAGCGGGAAAGCGAAAATACCTCGAAAAAGACGGGCTATTCTTTAAATTCCAGGGACACTCCCCGGCCGCTTTGAAAGAAGTAGCCAAGATTGTGAAAGGTGTCTGTGAAAAAAACGGAGGCAGCGGCTTCAAACTGGCGAGTGGGCCTGCAGAAGCGGATTCCATGTGGGACGATAGGAAAAATGCACTCACCATCGGGCTTTCTCTTTATCCTGATGCAAAAGGGTGGTCCACAGACGTTTGGTAACCTTCTTCATCCGAGCGGTGATTCAAGTTCTGACACCGCAACCACTTTCAGCGTCCCTGTTTCGAAGCTCCCGGAGTTGGTGTACGAGACCAAAAAGGATATCGCTGCTGCTCAGATTCCTTCGATGATCGTTGGGCATGCCGGCGATGGAAACTTTCATGCTCTTCTTTTGTACAAGACCGAAGAAGAGTTGGACGTGGCGAAAATCGTTGCCGATCGTATGGTGAAGCGGGCACTAGCCCTAGACGGCACATGTCTGTTTGCTTCCTAATAATCTGGCTTTCTCGCTAATCCACGTAGGTACCGGCGAGCATGGTGTGGGAATA